TGTGGACATTGTCATCATTATGGTCCTACCTCATTTGGCTCATTTATGACTGTAAAATGTCCTTCATATTCAGGTTTTGGTGTGTATTCAAAATCTTCAATGTCTTCTGAAACTATTTCTCTGTTAATAATTAAGAAGCCCTACAACAAATATTTAAAACAAGATAATCATGTAACATCCTGATACCACTAGATAGAAAAGTAACATATCACTGTCATACACCAACACTTTTTTAAACAGTTTGGAATGCATTTTGATTTGATTTTAATACCTGGCCGTCAATCATGTAAGAGATCATCATGATTGAGTCTGTGCTGGAATCAGGAAACTTCAGCGGGAGCTTTGTTGTCTCAATATCATAGGCCAATACAATTGGTTCCTGTAAAAAAACAAAGTTTTGCATATATATAAGAGGCTGAATTAGCTAAATTACCTTTAGCCTCTTTTTTCAAACCAAGTCCTAGTGTTCATCCTTTGATATGATAATAAGTTTCCATTCTCATGCAAATTAAACTCATTTTCACAAGAATTGTTGTGTACTGCATCTCATTTTGAAAAAGAGGCCAAGGGTAATTTAGAAATGGCCTGTTATTAGTCTGTCATCAATAAATGATTCCTCTCTCCAATTGTCTTTGATAAAAGAGAAGTACAGTCAAACATCGATTATCCGGACTCAATGGGACTTGGTAAAAAGTCCAGACGATCAAGAGTCCAGATAATCAAAAATATGAACATTAATGTGACAAAGAAAGAAATAAAGATAATACATTTTTAATTCTAAAAGTCCACTTCAATGACTACAAATATATCTACATCAGAAAGCTTTTTGTCTCTGAGCACTCCATCTTTTCAAAGTGGAGGAGGTAATGCGCTGTTTTAAATGTACTTTACTGACTTTAAACATATTGGTAATCTCTGAATTTTTTAGCTCTTAAAGTTTTGAAGATCAAAACTCATTAATTCATGGAAAAGGACCAGAGAAAAAGTATTAATAACAATAATAATAATAATAATAATTATTAATTTATAATGCGCCTTTTCCATTATCAAAAAGTTTGGATAACTGCATGCATGAGGTGCGACTGTATTGATATTTGGCCTCACACGTAGATTAGATTGGAAGGGGGATTTTGTGGACTAAAGTAAGCTTAAACCCTTTACACCCAAACATCAGTATGCATATTCTCCATACTTTTCCTAAGATGTTGACAAGGAGAATTTGTTTAACAAACAGGAGCTTTTTCGGTTGATGATTTCCTTTATTCTTGTGACCTTAATATTAGATTCAGGGGTGATATTGCAAGGAGAAGTTAAATGCTGGTCACTCTTAAGGATCAAAGGGTCAAGGGTAAGTGGTCAAGGCATTATTTTATTACCTAATGCATATGGAAATCTATTTCCCTTGACAACTGTATGGTGAGCTGTTTTGCACATTAAATCTGTACATGATTATGAAGCAAGAGCACAAAGAGAGAGAGAAACCCCCACTCACTGGTCTGTCAAGAAGATCCTCTCTCCTTCTTATCTCTGCATGGATTCCACCACGAACTTTCACTTCATACCAGTGACCCTGTTTAATGACAGGAAGAAAGTTAAAAGGAAAAAAAGTTACACATTTGTGACAAGTGGGAAAGTACAAGGCCCAAAGAAAAATCTGCATTTTTTTTCCTTAGAAAATGAAGCTTAGACCTGAAAATTGTACTATATGGTTACGACTATTTCACAAAGCTATTGCTATGAGCTCAGCAAGTATTCCTAGTCAGCAATCATTCTCAAAAGAGCAGGTCATTGCAAATCTGTGACTTCTCAAGCAGTTTGAGGCTGTTCATCAACAGTTTGTGGTGGTTTTCAGAATCCCCTGCGACAAATTCCCCCTTGCCACTCCATCCCTTCCTGTCTTTCCCTTCCACTGAGGGGGTCATGGCTGGGATACAAGAATGTGCCAGCCATGGAGATGCTGCAGAGTAACTAGGGACTTGCATGACAAAGTGGAAACCATCAAATATCCCAGGAGTGCATCTTCCATTGAGGCAAGATTCTAGCTCTAAAACAAGTTGATAATTTGATAGTCACCACCATTAACTTCTTCATCACATATTATACTTGAGTAATTACAGTCAAACTAAGTGAAGCGTACCCCTCTGGATTACATTTAATGATTTTGATTATTTTAATATTGAACCCGCAAATCGTTTCAGGAGCGCAATAACATATTGAATATTTGAACAGGGAACCTGCTAACCATTTCAAGAATGCAATAATGGATTGATTATTTGAATATTGAACCCGATAGCCATATTTGTTTTGAAAAGGCGTGGATCATTGTTCAAGTCAGAAGTCCATTTCTGATTGGATTATGCGAGCACATGATGATGTATCGGAACCATTTCAACATGGCGTCAGACATGGCGGGAAAGGTGAGTTCGAGTGTTGTGTAGAACTTCTTGTAAATGTTGTAAATGGAATGTTATCGAGAGCTTTTTTCGCCTATTTACATCTTAACGAACTTGTAGAAATTCTTGTGTGTATTCATGGTAAAAAAAAAATAGTTTACGGGCGAAGCCATCGCAAGACTTTTTCATTTCATTAATATTTACAATCGACTGTTTTCGCAGTGTCTTTACTGTGCAGGTTGTTCATTTTCAGGATTCCTCGTCATATAGAACAATCATATTGGACTTCAGAAATGGACTTCTAATTTGAACAATGATCTGCGCCTTTTCAAAACGGATACAGCTATCAGGTTCAATATTCAAATAATCAATCCATTACTGCATTCGTGAAACAGCTAGTGGGTTCAATAATCAAATAATCAATTCATTATTATATTCTTGAAACGACTGGCGGGTTCAATATCCAAATGATCAATTCATTAATGTAATCTTGAGGGGTACGCTTCACTTAGTTTGACTGTAATATTTCATTTCTAATTTTTATAAGCAAGTTTAATTTATGCACTCACCACAAAAATCTTAAGATCAATGGCCACTCTGACATGATAAGGCACATCATACTCCCTAATAAAAGAAAATATTTTAAATTGATGAAAGTGTTTTTTCTCTTAACCCTTTCACACCCAAGATCTCATTAGTTGTGTTTTCTGAACCAAAGTTTGGATCCCCGATCAAAAATTCCTCGATCTGCCCTTGTAGAATGTGCAGGCTGTAGTCTTTGTTAATAGGTTGAGTTTAGTTCCTAACCTATGTGTAGCCCTACCCTCTCCCCCACCCCCCATCCTTAAGAAGAAATGGAAGGGGAGGGTATGCCTACATGTAAGCTACTTAGTTTATTTTTAATTAATAGAATAAATATATCTTATGAGAAGTTTTGTTGTGTAGTATCACTTAGTATTTTTATGAGTTGTGCAGTATTTTGACGAGCTAGTTATTTTTACAAATAACGAGTAAAAATACTTAGTGATACTACACAACTAAACATCTAATAAGTTATTTATTATCCAACAAGTCAAATTGTTATTTCAGTGCGGGTGAATTTCATGGACATTTATTTACAGGGAATGCATGACAGAAGTATGCGAAACGGAACAGAATTGGCGCATTGTCCTGTTGCTGTTTCTATTTTCTTCAATAAATGAAGAAATTTCCTGGTTTTTCTAGCTGTTTTTCTTCGCTCAATTCATCTAATAAACCTGTATCTATATTTGCCAGCCATTCTGACTCTTCTTCGCGGGAAATATGATTCAAATTGTCGGCCATTTTTTTTTCTTAACTACATTCCAATTCTTCGCTTGCTAGAGGCAACAAAACCTGTTTAACGGGTACTCCAGAGTACAAATACCGCGTGATATTTGTACTGGTCGATGGCGTTACTTGTACTCTATGAAGTGCAGTTGGATAATAATGACTTGTACTCACGTCTTTATGTCTTATTCAGATATTTCACAAATGACAGACTGTGCCAATAATGAAATGGCCAAGATCCCCACTTGTGACCAAGATAGTTTATATCATTTCAAAACAGCAATAAATATCTTCCAAATAAGTCTTGAGTGGAGGCGCGGTGACCTCATGGTTAGTGCACTTGACTCTGGATCGAGTGGTCTGGGTTCAAACCTCGGCCGGGACATTGCGTTATGTTCTTAGGCAAGACACTTTACTCTCACAGTGCCTCTCTTCATCCAGGTGTATAAATGGGTAACGACAATTTAATGCTGGAGGTAATCCTGTGATGGACTGGCATCCCATCCAGGGGGGAGTAGAAATACTCCTAGTCGCTTCATGTTACAGAAACCGGAGTTAAGCACCGGCCTAATGGGCCACTAGGCTCGTAAACAGACTTCACTTACTTACTACTAAATAAGTCTTGAAGGAAATACAAAAAAACTCAGTTGTTTAATTACCTAATGTCAATAATATTTGCCATTTGATCACTACTTCTTCTGTTAGTTGCAATCATTTCTTCTTCATTCCAATCATTACCCATCACAATATTGTAGGCTGCATTTGTCTTGGCCTGTTCTTTGTTTTTCCTTACAGCTGGCATGATTTCCCTTGAGTTGAAATAAAATCAAATAACAATTAATAATTTGTAGGTATAACAATGTTAAAAAAAAATTTAATTTATTACACGACTC